GGAAAATGGGGACAAACAGGGACATGACATTTACCCCTGCTGAAATTCCTCATCTGATTTATTTTCTTTAATCTATATTTATTTATTTATTTATTTATTTATCTATCTATTTATTTATTTATTTATTTCAATTTTTAATGGCTTGGTCTGACTTTGAGTCCATTTCAAAAGCAAGGGAGAGACACATGAGGAGAAGTGGCCAGAGGGGAAATAGGGGCAAACAGGGACATGACATTTACCCCTGCTGGAATTCCTCATCTGATTTATTTTTATTTTATCTACTTATTTTTGTTTTTAGTTATTTCCATTTTTAATGGCTTAGTCTGACTTTGAGTCCAAATTGAAAGCAAGGGAGAGACAAGTGATATTTTGGAGAGGTGTCCAGAGGGGAAATAGGGGCAAACAGGGACGTGGCATTTACCCCTGCTGAAATTCCTCATCTGATTTATTTTTATTTTATCTACTTATATTTGTTATTATTTCTTTCCATTTTTAATTGGTCTGATCTTGAGTCCAAATCTGAAGCAAAGGAAAGACAAGTGAGGAGAGGTGCCAGGGAGGAAATAGGGGCAGACAGGGGCATGGCATTAACCCTGCTGAAATTTCTCATCTGATTTATTTTTATTTTATCTATTTTCATTTATTTATTGATTTATTTCCATTTTTAATGGCTTAGTCTGACTTTGAGTCCAAATTGAAAGCAAGAGACAGAAAAGTGAAGAGAGGTGGCCAGGGGGAAAATGGGGACAAACAGGGACATGACATTTACCCCGGCTGGAATTCCTCATCTGATTTATTTTCTTTAATCTATATTTATTTATTTATTTATTTACTTACTTATTTATTTATTTATTTATTTATTTATTTATTTCAATTTTTAATGGCTTGGTCTGACTTTGAGTCCAAATTGAAAGCAAGGGACAGAAAAGTGAAGAGAGGTAGCCAGGGGGAAAATGAAGACAAACAGGGAGATGACATTTACCCCTGCTGAAATTCCTCATCTGATTTATTTTTTTTAATATATTTTTTAAAATTTATTTATTTATTTATTTATTTATTTATTTATTTATTTATTTCAATTTTTAATGGCTTGGTCTGACTTTGAGTTCATTTCAAATGCAAGAGAGAGACACATGAGGGGAGGTGGCCAGAGGGGAAATGGGGACAAACAGGGACATGACATTTACCTTGTTGAAATTCCTCATCTGATTTATTTTTATTTTATCTACCTTTTTTTGTTATTATTTCTTTCCATTTTTAATGGCTTAGTCTGACTTTGAGTCCAAATTGAAAGCAAGAGACAGAAAAGTAAGGAGAGGTGGCCAGGAGGGAAATGGGGGAACACAGGTGCATGGCATTTACCCCTGCTGAAATTCCTCATCTGATTTATTTTTATTTTATCTATTTATATATATATATATAATTATATAATTATTATATCTAAGTCTTTTTTATTTATTATTTTATTTCCATTATTAATGGCTTGGTTTGAGTCCAAATCAAAAGCAAGGGACAGAGAAGTGAGGAGAGGTGACCAGGGAGGAAGTGGGGGTAAACAGGGACATGGTATTTACCTGCTGAAATTC